AAAAAAAAAAAAGATTAAGTCCCATTTCTACTTTACTAGCTGAACAAGTGATCTGATCTCTTTTAGTCTCAATTCCCACATCAGTAAAGTTTGAGCACTGAAAAAATTGTCATGCAAAATGTATAATTATCATATTTGTTGTTTGAGTATTCACACATAATAAATAAATTAAATCATTAAATTTTTGTCTGATGTTGAGAGATTTTTGTAATCCTGGGTAATGAGGAAATAAAAGAATCTGGAGAAAGATGAAAAGAATATAGGATGGAAAGGACTTTAACTGGAAAAACAACAAAAAATAAATGCTGGAAAACAAAGTTTAGATTAACCCCCACAAATCACTAGGATATGGACTGCCTACTCAGTCACTAGTTTGCAGACCACAAAAGGAAGAGTCTCCAGAACTAATGACCAAGAAACACCTTTACGATGAAAGAATGGCATCTATATAATTATTAATGAATTTAAATCAAGCCAATATTTCTAAACTATATACATTCAACATTTCTAAAGGCCACAAAAAGAAAACATTCTAAACTGGCAAATTCAAAAGAGAACACTAAGAAAGTAAGGATAAATACTGATGAAGAGATAACGATGTAGTATTTCCTGAATTATATATAACTGTGGGAACAAAGAATTAGAAAACAAATTTTGTTAAAGAAATAAAAATCAAGGCCTCTTTGGTGGCCTAGGGGTTTAAGTCTCAGCTATCACGTTGGTGACCTGAGCTTGCTTCCCAGTCAGGGAGCTAAGCCACACATGGTTCAGCAGACCTCTCCTGTCTCTTCCACTGCTCGCCTTAGCAGAGCAGTTCAGTAAATCTTGCCTGTTCTCCCATTCTGTCTCTGGTGAATCCTCTCACCCCTTTTATCCCCCACATACCTCTGGCTTACCCCCAGTTCTTCTATGCAAAACAAACAAACAAACATAAAATTCAGATTAAAAGAAAAGAAAGAAAGAAAGAAAAAGCAAAAATCTGAAAATCCTTTTTACAAGTCTATCTAGTACTATTCAGAGCACAATGGCCAATAGATAAAGAGTTGTCTTAGTTCTCTGGCCTTTCAAATCCATGGATTTCATTATTTATAGTGTTACTGATGAACCCAAACTAGCATTTTGTGGTGATTTTATAACAAAATACCATTTTTTTCCCATGAATAACAACTCAGTAACCACTCCCTTGCAAAAATTCAACAATAAATTCTAATTATGTATAACAATACTCAAACAGGAACAAAGTAAGTTGGGGATTTTATTAAAACAATCAGCTCAACTAAAAATAAAAACATAGTTCTATCTATTTATAGTCAGAGTTAGAAGTGTTTTTAAAATAAAGAATATATAAAAAATACTTTTCCCACACAAAAACCTGCCTGCGGGTTTTAGTTTATAGGAGCTTTATTTATAACTACCAAACCCAGAAAGCAACCAAGATGTCCTTCAACAGGTTAACAGATAAAGTGGCACATCTATATAATGGACTATACCTGAGCAATAAAGAGATATAAGCTATCAAGTCACAAAAGACAAGGAGGAGCCTTAAATGATATTTCTAAATGAAAGAAGTTTGTTTGAAAAGGTTATAATGTAACTATGTAACATCTGGAAAAGGCAACACTATAGAGACAATAAAGTGATCAATATTAACGATGGTTTCATGAGCGAGGGAAGAGTAAGCAGGTAAAATACAAGGAATTTTCGGGGCAATTAAACTATTTAGTAGGATATTATAATGTGGACACATGGCATTATGCATTTTTCAAAACTAATAGAATATACACTAAAGTAAACCCTAACATGTAAACTATAGACCTTAGTTAATAATAATGTATCAATATTGGTACATCAATTGTTAATATATCAATTCATGAAAAATGCTAATAACAGAGAAAAGGGAAGAACATATAGAAACTCTCTACTTTTTGCTCAATTTTCCTATAACCTTAAAAATGCTATAAAAAATCTAATAAACAACATTTTTCCTCTATATTTTTCTGACAATAAAGTAGCCATAACAAAATAGCTACAATAACAATACTGTCTCTAGCATGTTTTCCATATTTGTCAAAGGACAATTATTAATTTTTAATAATACCTAATTTTGACATTGTTTTGTGCCTTTTTTCATCTCAGTTTAATCCCCATGGGCTTCCCATCACCAAACCACCCATGTGCCATCACCATAGGCTAGTGTACTCTCCCCCCACCCACTTTTTATCCCATTCCCCACTCTACCCCCATAAAATGTCTTTGAAATAGTTGTTTGTTATTATTATTTTCTCGCCTGGTCCTTTATACTCCTGCTATGAGTGAAACCATCTGGCATTTTACTTTTTCTTTTTGGCTTATTTCACTAAGCATGATCCCTTCCAGCTCCATCCATGTTGCTGCAAAAGGTATGTGTTTATCTTTCTTGATTGCTGAGTAATATTCTATTGTATAAATGTACCACATCTTTTAAATCCAGTCCTCTACTTTTGGACATCTGGGTTGATTCCATGTCTTTCCTATTATAAATAAAGCAGCAATAAACATGGGGGTGCAGGTGTCTTTCTGAATCAGTGTTTTTGTGTCTTTT